CTCGGCTCGGTTCGGGTCTGTGGTGCTGGAGACCCCAGAGTCTCGGCTCGGTTCGGGTCTGTGGTGTGACCGAGGCTGGGCAGCGAGCAGGTCCCCGACAAGGCGGTTAAACCAGCACGTTTCTCGGGGTAACAGCACCCCTGCAATCAGACACCCCCATTCAGCAGAGCCCCGTTTGCTGCTTCCGGTTCTGAGATATAGCGCCCAGCTCTCGGGTACTCGCGTGAGCCTGTCTGTGAAGTTCAGGCGCGTCTGCAGCCGTGTCTACAGCTGCTGTTTGTCCCGGGGTGAAGGTCTCGCATTTAATACCAGTATTTCTGTGCGTTTGTGTGAATTTGTCTCCAGTTTCACACTGTGACCACGAGAGCTGCCGTTTCCGCATTGCAAAACCAACCGAAGCGAACAGCGGCGTTTTCTAAAAAAAAGACTTGATCACGTTACAACACCTCGTAGCTGCGTTGGTGTTTTTAAAACAGAACAAAGGAATCAGTTTCTCGCTGTGTCCTTTTTAAATACATGGGCGATTCAGGGAATATTTAAAGTTTCAACTCGTCTTTCGAGCGACGCCTTGTAAAAGCTTAGAGCGTAGAGCCTGCGCTAAGCAAACACAAACAGAGATAAAGTACCAGGAAACCGGGCGATATGCTTTGTTACTAAGTTGACCTACTGTGAGCACTTAACAACACCAGCCCAGCTTCTCCTTCGCAAGGGCCGACAGTCACCCGAAGGACGCCTCTCACCCCCCCGGCAGGAAACACCACTGGGGCCTCCCTTCCGTCCACCCAGGACAGCGACCACACACGCTGCTCACACCAAGGCACCGCAGGCTCCTCAACCCCCTGGTACCCACTGAACCTACTCCAAATCTGGAAACCTAGTTCTTTTTGCCAGATGTCAGGCGTACGTACTGTCTGACGTGTTCTTTGCACAATCCTGTAAAGTCAATTGCACTCTGCACATTGCACTTGATGTTACCCTGTACCTAGTCAGAAATGTCTGCGTCTACGTTGTCTTGTCAGTGTCTTGTCTGTACTCGCACAGTAGACCTGGAGGACGATATCTCGCTCCTCTGTATACTTGTATACGGCTGGACTGACAAACTTGAACTTGAACCTCTGTGTCCTGATCTCGAGTGGGAGTGGGAGTTAGCGTGAGGGCCTGTCGCCCTCTGGCGGTGGCCAGGAGTATGGCAAGAGCGGGTCGGTTCCTCGCTTCCTCCTGCTGCAAGCAGGTAGAGACATCGCACAAGACACCGCGTACGAAACACAGCGGCGTCCACATGCGCGGGCCGCAAGGGCGCAAGTCCTGGTTCGTTCCAGCTGAAAAGAGCAGAGAAGAGACACAACGTTTCGGCTGTGGTGCGACACCGTGTCTCTCCTCTTCTCAGCTGGAATAAACCTTGACTTGCTCCTACATGGGAAACACACATGTATGATGCGAAATAAAAAAAAAACAGAAATAAAGTAAAATACTTTCAACTCATCGAGCTTGAAGGAGGAACCTGCTGTTCCCCTCAGCCCAAGAGTGCACTACAGGCCCATGATCAGGGGCCGTGTCTCAGAGGAGACGAACAGACACAGAGCTGTCAGCCGGCTCCAAGACTCCATGTGTCTGTCATCAAGAGGGCTCCTGGGCTGTCTGTGTACAGGGCCGTCAGGCGACGGCACTCCCTCCTGCTCTGATTCAAGACCCTCTCTCTGTGAGCTGCTGGCCAAGGAGTCTGGGAGCACTCTCTGCACTGATTCGTGTCATGCAATGGTGTTAGAGGCTGGCCTGTGTGCTGGGACCTTCTGCAGCAGGTGTGAAGACCCTGGAAGTGCCTCTACAAGCCCTGTGGGGAAACTGCTGGGATCCAGGAGGAGCTCAAGCTGATGGAGCTCCTGTCTCCTAACAGTTTCTCAGACGGCTTCATGGTTCAGTGCCCCTGGTCTGAAAGGATGCCTGTCCTGGAGGATTCGTGTTTCGCAACTGGTGTGACTGTTGCTTGTTTCCAAAGTTTGCAGTTTTATGCTGATCCAGAGACATTTTGCACATTTCAGCACATGACCTCAGTAGCTGCCTCAAGACGTTTCCTAACTTTTGCTTTCTTGAAAATGTCTGAGACACACTGAGTATGGAACGCAGCCTCGGTGGACGCAGTGAGCCTCTCTCTGTGTTCCCCGATTTCTCCCCTGCAGTCCTGCTTTCGAATCGAAGGTCCAAACGATTTTGTTCATCAGCAGCTCTTTGAGTTAAAAGCCCCCAGTCTTCACTGCCTCTGGCCTGAGCCCCAGCTCCATGCAGTTCTCAGATTGTTACAACTGGGTTCACTTCGGGTTTTTCTTACACATTAATTTTGCTTTTCTAATTTTCGCTTGGGCTACAGATCTGATTGTGCTCTTAACAGACTCAGTACCCTGCTGTGAACATTGTATCTGCAGAACACCAGGCTCTCGTTTACCAAATACACTTTCACGATTCTTTCACACAGTTTCTGTGTGTCCCTCAGGCTGTGACAGGGTGAACCCCAGGGGTACCTGTGTGCCGATCCTTACTGTGTGTCCCTCAGGCTGTGACAGGGTGAACCCCAGGGGTACCTGTGTGCCAATCCTCACTGTGTGTCCCTCAGGCTGTGACAGGGTGAACCCCAGGGGTACCTGTGTGCCGATCCTCACTGTGTGTCCCTCAGGCTGTGACAGGGTGAACCCCAGGGGTACCTGTGTGTCCCTCAGGCTGTGACAGGGTGAACCCCAGGATCCCCATCAAAAGCTTTTTTGAAACCAGTAAAGCAGGAAAATGAATTTGTGGTGTGTGAGTGTGTGTGTGTGTGGGGTGTGAGTGTGTGGGTTGTGAATGAGTGTGAGTGTGTGTGTGTGGGTTGTGAGTGTGAGTGTGTGGG